TCCACATCGTAAATCAACAACGGAACGAAAGAAAGAGAGAGGAGGGAACCATGACAAACGGAGTGCGTGAGCCGCTTGCTGCTGCTGTACATCTTTTGTAAAACGTTTGTCGCCTAATGGCACTCCCCAATGCCGGAAGTGCCAAGCAAGAGCACATCGTTACAATGACGACGCCAAATAGCAAAATGGAGAAATATAATGGCGTAGTATTTTATGCCAAAGATTACGGCCACACACAATATTTCGCATTTTACACGGCCTAGACGTAAGAGGGGAAGCTGGAGAAGGTGGCGGTGATCTTGCCCATGAAGACCAGGGGCATGCCGTTACCGAGCTTCTGCGCCGCGTAGCCGGTGAACATGTAGGGCAATTCGGAACTCGCGTCCGTGGTGTTGTGGATGGCGTCGAGCCACAGATGACACTCGGCCCCTCTCGGGAACGCATCATCGGGCACCTGGCCTGCTCACATCAACCACCGGACGAATGAGTGATATCAATCTTGGTGCTGTTATGCGTGTGCGGTGGTGCGTGCGCGGTGGTGCGTGCGCGTGCGCGCGTGTGTGGTGCGTGTGCGTGTGCGGCGCGTACCGTGCAAGAAGATACGAGAGCCGGAGATCAAGGAAAGGTTGGTAAGCGGATGGTAGCCCAGCTTGCCGGTGATGGTGGTGGCGTCCTTGATGGTTATTTCGCCCGCCAGTTCGCTGCCTGCACCGATGTACAATCAACGATTGCAGGCCAACCACTCGAGGAGGAGACCAACGAAGGCCAAGGCGGCGGGCTGCAAATGTACCTCCGGTCGTCCGGACCTGCCAGACTCCATTCCGATGCCCGGTGGTCAATGCCTGAATGAGTCTGTCGTGTCGTGTGTCGTGTGTCATGTGTCATGTGTCGTCGTGCGTCGTGCGTCGTGCGTCGTGCGTCGTGCGGTGGGTTAGTGCGTAGAGGAGCTGAGGCTCACTAACGAGCGAGCGCGCTTACTTGAGTTCCTGGTCCTTCATGTGGGGTCTTGATGTTCTTGAGGAGGTTGCCCCAATCGGTGGCCTTCCACTCAGCCAGCGAGATCGTACCGCTGGCATCCTTGTCAATCACCTGTTTCGCCCCACGTCAAAACCAAACAAACAAATAAAAAACGAAACGAGAAAAAAACCACGAAAGCGAAAACAACAAGAGAAGCGAACCTGGAACATGGCC